AGTGGGAATTCAGCTTTTTGCTCCATTACTGAGCTTGCCAGAAAGTAACTAGATGGTGTCCATTATGACAGTGTTTCTGTTGTGCATCTTTTCCTCTAGGAACCAGACTGAGGCTGGCAACACATTCCCTGTTTGCCACCAGATACTCAACATGTCTACATGAGATTTTTACTGCGCAGTTGACTAATTAACTGCACAGTAAACATGTCAGCATCTACACATGCACCACTATTAAGGCATACAGAACTAATAAACTCTACAGCAGCTTTTTCATGAGCGGCAGTGCATGTATAGACGCTGCTCTGGCTGGCTAGGGCACAGGGCGCTTCAGGGTAGGGCTAGCTGGCAAGCAGCCCCAGTGCTGAAGCACCCTCATGCCTCAGCCAACCCCTCAACAGCATGTGGAGACCCATTGGAGCAGCTCTGGGCTGGCAGCCTGACCCCCCAGGTCCCCTGCCAGCCCAGGCTGCTCCAGCAGGGCTCCATGTGCAGTGCACAAATCAACTCTGCAGTTTATTACTTAAGCTCTGGAGTTTATTTGTGTGGATTAATCCCATGCATAGATGTGCCCAAGTAGCATTAATTTTTTATGCTGTAGACCTGGGCTGGTTTTAAATCAGCAACATACTGAAAAGAGACTCTTTAGTTGTTATCACTGATCCTTGACATGATCCAGTCTCCCAGAGAGACTGCTTTTTTTGAAGTTTTTAATAGTCAAGTTACAAAGTCTTGACTAGTGATTTTCAACCAGGGTGATATGGGACCCTTTTAAGGGTTCTGGAGGGTGGAAACACTTGCATGTGATTCTCAAGATCAGGGCTGTCCCTGCGGGGGAGGGGGGCGAATCAGGGTGACCACCCCGGGCTCTGTGCTTTGGGGGGCCCCATGGAGCTGGGCAGAGTGGTGCGGCAACTCTGCGCTGCCGCCAACTTCATGTCCAGTCCCTTGGCACCCTGGAGTCCACCACCAAATCCGGCACCTCCAGGCTGTCACACCCCCCTGCCACCGAATCAGGTGCATCTGGATGCTCCCCACCATGCCAAATCCTCTGCTGGCTTCCTTGTGTTCAGGGGTGGGGCCCCGCACCCTGCTCAGGTTGTCTCTGCTCAAGATTGTAGGAATCCATAGTGTCCAAGATGTTCTGAGCACTTACCGTCTTTCTGAGTTCATTGCAACAGAAGAATTACTCTGTTTTTCTGTAGACAAAAATGAGTGAAAGCTAAAATCTGAGGTTATCTGAGAGGGTGGCTTGAGTCTAATGAGGGGCACCTTGAGTCCAAAAACAGGTTGAAAGCCACTGGTCTTGACTTTCTTCAGTTGATAAAACTATCCTCTTTTGTTTCAGTATCATACTATACTGTGTATATGTGGTACATAAAACCTTGCATAGCCCTAAAATACCTCAAGAATTCGGTGGGAGACTCAGTCATATTGTTAACTATTACAGACCTCACAGCACTTCAGTTAAGAGCTATTACAGTGTTAAGATCCAGCTCATATGTTTCATGGCATACACTTTTCTATAGTCCTGTAAAAAGGCTTTCTGTATGTTCAATGTATTGTACAGTAAGAATATTCTGCAGTGTGAATCTTCTGCAGAAGGGTTACAGAATAATATACAGTGTTGTCTTGGAAATTACAATGTTGAATCAATGGGGTATTGCAGTTTTTATTCTATAAAGCTGGATGCAAAGTATATATTCTTTGTTCAGCTAGTTATTATTATTCTGCCCTAAAAACATGGCTACATTCAGCAAAATATGCAAGCTTGTTCTTAACTTATAAGTATGCTATGGCATTACTAATGTGCTTGATGTGAAGCACATAAGTACTGTATCAAGGCCATTATGCTTCAGAAAGTCTTTGTCTTTACTGCCTCCCTGCCAAACTTGGGCCTACCACCAAGGAAATTAGGTCCTCCCAGTCACTTCTGCATTGTGCGTGCCAAAGCCCAGGAGTTAAGCAGTGTAGGTGGCCTAGAATCATCCCATGTAGGTGCCCTGTCACTAGTACTGGGCAATCCAAGACGGAGCCTAGGGAACACACTCAGGACAGCGTAGTTTGTCTGTTGCCTGATTGCTGAGTGTAGGTGTTCAGGACACTGTTTCCCACCACATTCTCTTAAAAAAACTTGGTGACTGTGGCATTGATGCCTACACAGTCAAATGGGTGGCAAATTCGGTAGATCGTCACACCCAGAGAGTGGTGGTGGATGGGTCATTTTTGACCTGGAGAGATGTGGGCAGTGGAGTCCCCCAGGGCTCGGTCCTGGGCCCTGAAATGTTCAAAATTTTTATCAGTGATCTGGATGTGGGTGTGGAAAGCACTCTGTCCAAATTCACTGACAACACCAAGTTGTGGGGCGAGATGAGCACGCTGGAGGGGAGGGACTAAATCCAGCTAGATCTAGACAGGTTACAGAGGTGGGCAGATGAGAATAGGATGGAATTCAACACAGACAAGTGCAAGGTGCTACATCTAGGGAGAAGGAACCAGCAACACACCTATAGGCTGGGGAACACCCTTCTTGTCAATATGGTGGCAGAAAGGGATCTTGGAGTTATTGTTGACTCCAGGATGAACATGAGCTGCCAAGGCGAGGAAGTGGTCAGTAAGGCTAGCTGCACCTTGTCATGCATCCACAGATGCATCATAAGCAGGTCCAGGGAGGTGATCCTTCCCTTCTATGCAGCTTTGGTCAGACCGCAGTTGGAGTACTGTGTCCAGTTCTGGGCACCACACTTCGAGAGGGATGTGGCTAGCATTGAGAGGGTCCAGAGGAGGGCCACTTTCATGGTCGGGGGCAGCAGGGCAGCCCTACGAAAAGGGGCTGAAGGGTCTGAACCTAATTAGCTTCCACAAGAGAAGGCTGATAGGGGATCTGGTGGCTGTTTACAAACTCACCAGGGGGGACCAGCGGGGATTGGGTGAGGCTCTGTTCCCCCGGGCACCACCCAGGGTTACTAGGAAGAACGGCCACAAATTGTTAGAGAGAAGGTTCAGGCTGGACATCAGGAGACATTACTTTACTGTTAGGGTTGCCAGGTGCTGGATTGGGCTCCCAAGTAAGGTGGTGCTCTCTCCTACCTTGGGGGTCTTCAAGAGGAGGCTGGACAGATATTTGGCTGCAGTGATATGATCCCGGCACCTGTTTCTGCCCGGGGCAGGGGGGTCAGACCTGATGATCTGTTTAGGTGCCTTCCAACCCTAAACACTATGATGCTAAGTACTATGATACTAGGTAGAATGGGATTGAATGTGCAGGACATATTTCCTTGGCGGTTGTTCCAAGTTTGGCAGGGAGATGGTTATAAACATGGCCTAAAATACCTGTGGTGTTGCAGTTTCTGTGCAGCAGCTTATAAAACTTCATCCCTGAAATCAGTTGATTTTGTTTTCTTTTTTATCAGAGCTGTGTCATATTTTCCATATTTAACAAAGTGATTGTTAAAGTTACAGCCCTAAAACTTTAAATAAATAGTCTAGCTGTAATAACAGCTAATTTTGCTAGCAATCAGGGTGGCCACTTCACCACAGAGCTTGCAGCAAGGGCTTAACTTTACCCTTTTTTCCTTTACTGTAATTAGAATGGGTTCACAATTGTATTAAGCTGTCTTTTGCTAAATAGGTATTTTTGAGGCATCTTTGAGAGTTATAGCTGCCTGTTAGTCGCTGTTATAACAAGATTGTATTTCCTGTTACTAGATTTTAATCTGTCTTCCTGATTTTTTCCCCCAGATCAACCCCCAGTACTGAAGGTTGATGACAGACAACGACTTGCAAGGGAACGGAGGGAGGAACGAGAGAAGCAGTTAGGTAAGATATGCTCTGTGTTATTTAGCAGGTATAATTTTGTAGACTGTAATCTGAGTCTAGAAATCCATTATTCTAATATGCTTTTAGCAGCAAAAGGTAAATGGATGGAATTAAAAATTCAATAACGTCCTTTTAGATGTGCCATTACATCTTGAAGGCAGACCTTGTGTTCATGCATATCTGAGTATTTGTCATTAGTGAAGCTGTTGTATGCATGTTACATCTCTTTACATTATTGAACCAAATGGACCAAAGTCTACCCTTGATTATACCAAGATATGTGCAAAGTGACTTCATTGACATCAGGGAGGGTTCTCCAGATTCAGACTTGTGTAAATGAGAGCAGAATTTATTTCTAAATATAAGAGATCCATTCTGTTTTGTGCATAAAATAAGATGGAAAAACAGGATGTCAGCATGTAGATTGAGTTTTCTGATACTTGGTGTTTTGATCATGCGTGTGTGGGGTTTTTACATATTGTATATTAATGGTGTCTATTAATGACATTCAAGTAAAAACGTGTACATCCCATATTTGAATGTATACAGTACTCTTAACTAGATTATCCAAGTGCATGTTTACACCAACATTAACAGGCAAGTAGCTATTTTCAGTGCAGATATAACATAACAGAACAAGCTGAAAACTATTGTCATTGTATTTTACTTGCACAGAACTGCCAATAATAAATCTCATTCCTCTCCACTGAAAAAAAAAAAAATTATTCTTACTGGGTGGTAGTCCCCTTTCTGCGAGATCATGCAGAATGGCTGATGCACCATTTAAGTCTTGCATGTCATAAAAATGCAGTTGGAGTGATGTGTAAACCTTGTTTTGTTCTGACTTCAGCATTGGGTATAAATTTCATTTATTGTGTATTGGCTCAGCTGTCATATATTGAATTTACAATCTTGCTGATGATATTATGTATGTACACCAACCTAAACGTGCCATTAATTAACACAGATTTCTTTTTCTGAATGACTAGTAATATTTGCACATACTGATCCATTTTTAAAGCAATCTCCCCTTAATAGATAAATCTTTCATAAAAGTCTTTCGTTTTTTATTTGGCCTTTGCTAAAGGAAACTGAGGAAAGTAGTGGGTGTATAAATAAGTCTGGAATTTAAATCGCACCAAATAGTTTGATCTGTGCAAAAGTGCCAAACTACTTTGTTATCTTGTGCCACGTGATATTGTTCTCCCCCAAAATGTTAAGGGATTGGTTATTTTTTCCTCATCAAAGTATCAAATAAAATGTCAGTGCAAAGTCCAATGCTTAGGATGGAACAATAGCATGCACAAATACAGACAGGGTTGGGGAATGACTGGCTAGGCTGCAGTTTTGCAGAAAAGTACCCAGCAATCACAGTGAATCATAAGCTAAATACGAGCCAACAGTGTGCTGTTCCGGAAAAAGAGCCAAAAGCATATTGGGCTTCATTAATAGGAATGCCACTGGCAAATAGAGAGAAGTAATTCTTCTATTCTATTTGGCACTAGTAAGGCCTCATCTGGAGTATTGTGTCTAGTTTTGGGCTGCTCACTTCGAGAAAGATGTGGACAGAAAGAGTCCAGCAGAGAATGACACAAATGCTTAGAGGTCTGGGAAACATGATTTATGAGGACAGACTGAAAGAACTAGGTTTATTTAGTCTGGAGAATAGAAGAGTGAGGGGGGATTTGATAAGTCTTCCAATACCTGAAGGGTGGTTATGTGGAGGATGAGTCTAGACTATTCTCCGTAGCCATAGGGGACAGGGCAAAGACAATAGTTTAAAATTGTCATAAGGGAAATTTAGGTTGGATTTTAGGAAGAACTTTCTCTCTATGAGGGTGATTAAGCATTGAAACAGGCTTCCTTAGTGTGGAGAGGCAGAATCTCTATCCTTGGATGTTTTTTAAGAATAGATTTAATGGTCATTGACTGGGATGGTTTAGTGAGGGACAACCCTGCCTGGAGCAGGGGGTTGAATTAGATGACCTCATGAGGTCCCTTCCAACCCTAGCACTCTATGAGTTTACACAAAAAAGGGAGAAGCCAATTGAATTTGAAATATTATGGTTATAAATGTTTTGAATGGAAGTGTTCATTTCTGAGGATTTTTGATGAGTTGCCTCAAGCTTGCAAAGCAGGACAGGTGATAAACTCACACATCCCATGTCCCATTCTCTGAGGCCATAAACCAAGGTAAGAAGTAGTCTGTCAGTTATTCATCTGGTGCCTTGCTTCTTGCCATCTTAGCAGCAGAGTACATGAAGCATGTGCCTTTTTTGGAAATTGTCAACCCCAAATGTGGTCTATGCCTGGCCACTGAAGTTCTCCCTTCCCATAAAAAGCTTTGATCCTGAACAGCATTATGGACTCTCTGCACCTTTCTTGGGAGTTTCAGATGCTCAGAATGTGCTAAACTAATTTTCAGAGTGGTTATGCTGCAAATTTAGGCCAAGCAGAACACAAAAATCCCTCCAAAGGAAATGCCAGTTTTCACAAAGTCAAAGAAACAGGAAGCATTTAAACATGAAGGGATGTGCACAATTGTACATGCAGAACAGCCACAACAATTGCTACAGAGTAAGATCTAATAAGCTCTAAGGCAATGGTGTTAGAGCCGGGTGAGTGGTGTAGGGCCAGTCCATGGGCTAGGTCCAGCACATGAGGTCTGTTCATGGGTGTGATTTGGTGTGTTGGCCTGGCTGTGCACACCGGCCTGACACCACATGCAGCCCTATCTCATGTGCTGGATCTGACTGCTTGCCAGCTTGAATCTGCACACTGGATCTGGATGGGTGCTGACCTGACCTCATACACCAATGCAATCTAGCACCCAAGGTTACATCATCTGACCTGAAGGACTCCTCATGGATCTGGAAATTTGGCAGCAGGGAACTGCAATTAACACTGCCACTGCTTCACCGCTGATAAGTTTTTGGAACTGTAGGAGAACCCACGGGCCAGATGACATGTTCTTGTAGACTGGATCTGACCCACAGTCCAGAAGTTGAGCACCCCTGGTCTCACGTCTCAACTCCAGACAGGACTTGATTGTTGCTAATGCAAATGCTGATGAACCAGACTTATGTGCTTCACCCAGGTGGTCACAGAACTGGAACTGAGCAAATACATCCCTAACCCATGCTGTTGCTGTTGCCGTACTGTGTCATGGCACTGGTGTTGACAATAAAATGGTAAAAGACAAAATGAGAAGTAGCTGTTTGCTTTCAGGATAGTGCTTTTGTACCTTTTGAGCACTGATGGTCCTTTCTCGTATGTCAAGAATTGGATAAATCCCCTTAACTTGTCATTGCCTTCTGCTTGCTAAATGCACCTGGCTCAATGATTGACAGAGAGCCTTTCTATCAGCTTGCCTGTCTCTATCTAGAAGAATGTATGCATCGTAAGAGTTGATCCTCTCTCTTTTGATAGTAGTAGCCTTATCTTCTCTGGGGATGAGTTTTATTCTACTCTGCTTCACAAATGACTTCTTGATTACTCAGCCCTTTAAACTTGGTAAATGAAAACTAAATTACTCTGCATCAACTCTTGAAGGCCAGCAGGCAGAGCTGGCAGCTTGGAAGGTGGCCAGTGCTCAGGGTTCTGTGTTGGTTCCCCTGGACAGGGCTCCCTGTAACCATCCGCATTCATTAATAACTGTGAGGAAAATGCCTTTTTCTTTTGCGTTGTGCTGCTGCTATGCTTGACCCTCTCCGTTTTGTGAGGAATGTCTTTGATGCAACAACTGGCATGAGAGATCCCTATGTGCTATTGAATATACCCTTTATACAGTGGTATGCTCTGTCGTGATATGCCATATTTTAACTTGATAAAACAAGCTGTGTGGCAAAGGGGCCTTTGGCTGACTTTGAATGCATCTCATTTTGATGCAAAGACCTTTTTTCTTTTGTTTTCATGGAGATGGAAGGCACAGTGCTGTAATCCTCTAGCAATTTAACTCTCCTGTTTCAGCCATTCATTACAATCACAACTGTTAATTTGAGGTTACAAATAGGCAGGAAAAGAGACAAACACAACAAACAAAGGAAGAAAGCAGGAGCCGTGAGAAGGGTTTCATCTCTTGTTTTCTAGTTAGCTGTACCACCCTTAGCTGCACCACCTCTCCTTTGCAACATAAGTGCATCATACCCATCTTGTGCTCTCCACAGTGGATTCCAATAACATTTCAATCCAAGGTCATAGTTTTGGATCTTGTCTTCAAGGTTTCTTGTGGTTTGGGTCTAGGATATCTAAAATAGCTATCTAAATCTCTGTGTGTCCAGGCCAACAACTGCTAAAACAGTGAGAGTGAAGCTCAGTGAACTGGATCTTAGGATTTTGTTTTCATGAGTCTCTCAATCTCTGGTGCTTTTCCAAAGTTCTGACTTCAGGAAAAGTTACTATAGGAAAAGCTCAGGTCTCATGATGGCTGAGAACAACTTAGAGTGACCTTGAATCAAATTTTTAGGCCCTTAAACCAGAAGGCAAATTAAAGGACCTCAGGAAAGAGGGCGCAAAAGCCCCCATGGCTTACCAAAAGCATATGGGAACGTCTCCTGGCTAAAAGGGAGGCCAATGGAAGGAAGGGGCCATCACCAGGGAGGACTACACCTGACCGCCCCCCTGCTCAGTGCTGCAGGGGGGCGGTCAGGAAGGCCAAGGCAGAGATGGAACTGGGACTAGCTACCCAGATCAAGGACAACAGGAAGTCCTTTTTTAAATACATAGGGGGTAAAAAGAAGGTGTACCGGGTAACGTGGGGCCTCTGCAAGACACACTAGGAAATCTGATCGTCACATCAGACAACAAAGCTAACCTATTTAACAATTTCTTTGCCTCCATTTTCCTGAGCAGGGACAGGGTCACCCCCCTCCTCCACCGGGACTTCGTAGACCCCAGGGGAGGTGCACCCAGACCTAGGGTCAGTGAGGATCTAGTCAGGGAACTTCTGGAGGGACTGGATGTATTTAAATCACCTGATAATCTCCACCCCAGAGTGCTGA